TGAAGACAGATTAAGGGCATTTATACTACCATATCTTTGCAAAGAGAGTTTATTGCCACAGAAAGGTCTTCCAAATGACAGATGTTAAAAAGAAAACCGTTTTTTCAGCTGTTTTGTCTGTTGGTTGTTACTGTCACCCCCAATCAGGTCAAGGCAGTTAGGCTCGCTATTTCTGGGATGAATATTGCATTAGAAAATGTGATCTTTGTTTCCATAATGCTGTTTGGGACTGTTTTAAAGTACAGCAAATACAACAACAACCCATAACAAAAGAGAATTTAAATTGTGAGAAGTTTTACTTCACCAGTTTTACTTGTGAGAATCAAGACTCATCCAAAATAAGAAAATCTGAGTAAAGCAGTAATTCGCATTTTGCTGAAACAGGGTCTACAAAATCAGCCTCTATCGAATTTGACCACTAATTACAAATTCAGCTTTTTCTCCACGGCCACCCTCTGACATCAAACTTCACCATCTGGCACAGGTTCAGAAGGACAGACGAGAGGGCCAGGAGGAAAAGAAACGCTTATAAAGCAGGAAGATCCCACTAGAGCTGCTGCGAGCAGGATGCAGGTCACGGGAATGGGGGAGAGGAGGCACAGCTGCCCCTTGTCTCTGCTTCAGCATCACGGATGCGTCCAGTTCTAGGGACCAGCAGAACAGTTTGCATTGCCTTTTCCCCAACAAGGTATTAATGGGTAGTTTTCTGCTATAGAATGCGCTCTCATAAAGATCTCTCATAAAAATGTACCAGTTTCTCACTGAAACTTTTATGAGACACTGAAATTTATACTAACTGCAGAAGGTAAGTTAGGAATGGGGCTGCACTACGTTCACTCCACAGTGTAAGAGGGTAAATTGTTAGGAAGACAGSTCAGATTTTAGGTGGATTAAAATGCTCCCAAAGCTGCATCTCTCTTCTTGCAATAGCCCCCCAAGATGACAAGATAAGTTCCCTTCTTAGGAAACTAAATTGAGATGGATCTGCATTTGAAATCTGACAAATACTACAACAACAGTAGANGGGGGGGGAGGCATGAATTTCTCTATTTCCAGTCCAGAGCTCTTCTAGCTCTACAGCCCACTTTCATATAACAACGCCCTGTATTATGTCTGCTTCTGCAGTCGTTTTTTGTGTGCAAAACATCCCACTGTTTCAGCAAGTTGCTGCTAGAGGAAAGCTGTAGGACTAGAAGAGATTACTGATATGAGAGCACCTTTAAGTCTCAGCTTTAAAGCAAAAGCTGGGCAAGTTTAGAGAATTTCTGCCACAAATTTGCTTAACTCCCATAAAACTAAAACTGTTCTTTTCACTGTGAACCTCCTCATCAGCTTTTCACTGTTCCTAGTCACTGCACTTTAAAAACTGACAGGGAGTTTAATAGTGCTTGGAGTGAAAAATGAGGCTTTTAGCCATGTATTTATTTGGCAATATCTATGGAGCAAAAACTTGTAATACCAGTGCCTTTTTGGAAGAAAAAGGGAAGTTTTCCTACTTTATGGGCTATAAGGATATACGACCAGATTCACTGCCACTTCTATATTGAGTATCAAAACCTACAAGCCTAAATCTGAAGTTTGTTATCCAAGAAAAAGTTATTAAAGAGGTTCAAGGCATGAAGAACTCCAGTGCATTAATGAGTGCCAACTTTGTCTGGCCTTTTATGAACTTTGCCTTAAAATAAAAATAAATAAACCCTTATCTAGTCATTTTTAGACCACTTCAACAGATCAGCCACTTAAATAAGATTATTTATTTATTGGTGTTTTTGGTGTTGCCTTCATTAATAAAATATATCCTTGAATATATTTCTGTATCTAAGAGGTAAGCTGAAAAACAATGGTATTCAAATAGAAACAGAGTCAATGTCTCTATCAACTAGTTCCAAGATAGTGGGTCAAAGATGCTATKAATGGCAGCCCACAGGTTGCATGTGGCTCTTTCTCACTGGGAGAAACATGARTAACAATGAAGAGCAATATTTTAGGCTCTTCTCTATTTTGTAAATGAATACAAAATATACGCACTTGCAAATCTAAATATAGTCTCTTACACTGAACAGAAATAAACTGGGTAAGTAGTTTGGGGAGGGAGAAAAAAAATCTAAAAACGTACAAAAATCTGACTTCACTTCCTGAGACTCTCGTGTGCAGCATTGCTAGTTAATTCTACAGTGAAGCTTTCTTCAAGAAGCTCCATAAATTCAGTATTAATTGTTGTGCTGAAACAAATCCTAGCTTTTTTTTTTGTGAAAGGAAAGTACAAATTGAAAAAATAAAGTGTCTATGTCTTGAATTTCTTCATCCCATATTGTCTCCACATGGCACAATGACTAACAAATTATTTTCCAACTGAAAACAAGTTTATAGTTTAAAATTCTAAGTTTTTCATTTTAAAACAAATAAAAGATGAAAAATGAAAAGGCAAAGAGAAGAGTCATTTGTTTAATCATGTATCAGCAGTAAAAGCATCCATACAATGTCTCATTCCTTATCTAAAGGAAGCACATTCCACTCCTGGGGAGTGCTTCATCCTCCCTTTCCAGCCTTGACTTTTTGTTGTTGCAATTGCCAGCAAGCAACTCTGGGAATATCCTTAGGAATGCAGAGCCTTATTTCCCTCCAGAAGCAGAGGCAACAAACTCATTTCACCCCAGCACATCAGAGAGCATCAGTCACACGCTGACACCAACATGATCAGAACAAGTATCAAGTCTCTATTTCCATGGCCCTAAGGTGAGAGCTCTTTTTAAGGCAAATTCTCAAAACACATTCACTGTTTTTCAAAAAGAGCAAGAACTGGTCGACTCCAAAGAATACAGTTTGGGGAAAACAGCTTTCTATGGCAAGTATCAGGATCTTTCAAAGCTCGTTTTTACAGGCTTCCCTAACTTGGTACGGATTTTAGGAGAATGTTGTGATCAAATCGAAAATAACAGCAGACAGGAGGAATGCTGAAAAGGAGAGGGATAATCTTGCTCTTACTGAAGTACATACTTTTGTACAGCCTAGAAGAGAGTATCCCACTGGGATTTTTAGAGATTACAGGGACTGGGAAGARAGAATAATGTGAACTCCCAGGCAGAGAACACCAGAATGGGAAAATAATTCATCAACAAAAATGTGAAACAAGATACGAAGTGCTGTCAAAAGCATAAAGCAAACAAATGGGGGGAAAGCATAGGGAAAAATCCCCTCAATCTCCTTTGCTATAGCAGTATTAGGGATTATTTATAACAATGACGGGGKTTTTTTCCCCAGATGGAAGTGTTTTTCAAGTTGCCAGCATGCTTTTGATTACAAAGTTTAATTCTAATGCATGGCACAGGCAAATTAGGTAATTCAAGCTAATAATACAGTTGCTGATTTGCTAGCATTTTAATCCTTTAATTTGCATGTCTAAATACATCCTAACAATATCTTTTTAATACTTAAACACATGCACACTGGTAACTATAACGCGCTGATGATGAGATACATTGAAGGATTTCAAGGAGGACATTTGGATCTCTATTGATGTTGTGTTTTAAAAATGGCAAATACATTTCCTTGCAAGACAGAAGTAGAAATTAAAATCTAAGACTGAACTAAATTGCCTTGAAACAAACAGGAAATAAACAGGTTTTTAAGGCCAGAAGGGACCGTTACGATTGCCAAACTAACTTCCTGCACAAAAGACGCGTAAAATTTCACCTCAAAATTCCTGCTGCATTTTGCAACTAACTAAGCATCTGGCTCAGAAACATCCTTTACTGAAAATCACACAATTCAGAGTCAAGATTGAAAATCTAAAAAGACGCTGTTTAAAATTTCATGCTGTACCATATAGTAAGTCTCACAGTAGATGAGTGACATGTTTACAGCAAAATAGGATGAATTATAAGGATATTAATCAGCGACAATACATCTCTATATCTGCTCCTGTGTTTACTCCACATAATTAGAAATAATTGTATCAATGACAATATGATTTATTAAACCACTCCATAGTTTTGAAAATTTGTTTCTACACTGTCATCTGTAAAAATACATTCATAAAATTCCATTCACTCTATCTAGTTTGAAATTATTTCTAGTAATCTGTGTGTTATTACTGTTATTTACATAGTAAATGTTAATTTATAACTCATAATGAAGGGATATTCCTACAAGGAAGAGAATGAGGAGTCCAAATCTGTCCCCACATCTGTTGGGAAACATTCACTTTTTGCTCTTTCCCCCATGTTTTGCCATTCCCATATCAGAGGGCTTCAAATTCTGGATAGATGAGTTGAATGGACAAAGATTATTTGCCATTTATTCTATTAGTRTATTATGAAACCTAAATAACATCCTAATTTAGTGTCACATTTACAGGGAACCTGAAATAACCTAAGGTCTACAAGTGTTTTCCATCCTTGTACATTCCCCCATTCTTGTCTGAACACTGGAAACCACATTTTCCAAAGCTGCAATCACTGATTTGAGGACAGAAGAGAGAAARCATACAGCTAGTTGTCATTTTTCAAATGCTGCCATAGCATAAATATGCCTGTGTATGCTATGCCTTCATTCAAAAGTTATTAAAAAAACATATTTAAAAACACATTCAAATCACCTTCATATTGGAAAATACAACTCTTGAAATTTTTATTTAAGATTAGCCACAAAACTTTGCTTTGTTATTTATTTATGCTACTAACGGCTAATGTTTATCCGCCAAACATTTAAGAATAGACAATAGCCTAAAAACACGTTTTTAAAATTCATTACTGTTTGTAAGAGGTTTTTCACAATATTAGACACCAAGAGAAAATCTCGGCATTTGTTTAAGATCTGTGATGGCTGATATTTTATAAAATGTGTATTTGAGGCCAAATTTGACATGRTAAGTCTTAAAACAGGACACAAACATGCTTTTTAAATAGGTAAGTGCACAGATTTTTCTCCCATTTCCAACGCAAAAGAAAAACAATTTCAATCCCCCATTCAAACACTTTTAATTTCAAATGGCAAGTATGAGAAATCTACAAATTAACAAAACACAGATGCAAAATGAGATAGGAAGCTTCATAGCCCACCTTTCTTCTTGACTGGCATTCTTCCTCCTACTTCTGTTACTGCTTGCAAGCACTTAATTACAGGTATTAACGATGTACCACTGGAACACTTTGCGAGGTCTAGCTATTGCAAAACACTTTTACAGTTCAGTTCTGAAATGCAGCTTCAATCTTCATTTCTATCAGTACTTGCTGTTTTCCTGCATGGAGCTTCCGATGCTTCCCACAAATAAAGAAAAAAAAAAGGGGGGGGGGGGGAACAGAAGCTTTTGAATATTTTTAAGAGAGATTTTCAATTTCTTTAAAATATATTTGAATCTATAAAAATACAAGAGAAAATGTTCCTTGGCAGTATAAAACCCTATTATAACTCCTCTTCTGGCAGCAAAATTTGAAAATTAAAAKATTTTATGTAAAACAATTAAGGCACGGTCCATCTCTAGGCAGCTCTCTTAATACTTGCTCAAAAGCATATTATTTGCAGGACAAAAACTCCCAAATAATCCAAACAAGGAGGAAGACAAAAACAATCCAAAGTGACTCTTTAAACTTCTTTCACTTCTTGAATGAATTCTGCTAGCTATGCATTGGGCGACTACTCAGCAGACTGAAAAGGTCCCTTTTTTTCCTCACCAGACAACAGCCTTCAAATATCACCCTCTTCCCCAACAACAGGAGTCACTGGCCAGTCACTTTCATTTTTATTATATCCAAGCCACCCAGCCTTATGGTCTTTAATGTCCCTCTGATCCTCCCATGTATTAAAAGAGAGGATTGGAAAGGAGGAAAGCAATCCCTTGACCTGGAATTATTAAAGTGACAGTGCTGCTCAGTGGGCACTTTGGCAAAGCAGATTGCTTTGGAGTGGAGTCATTTACTTCATGCCATTTCTTCCCTCACAAAGCGGTCACCGCATGGAAGAGGAGCAAGGAGAGTTAGCAACCAAAAAGGTTCATTTTTTTTCAAGGATATCGAAGCATTAATGAGWTTTTTAAAAAGATAAAATAAAAAAAGCAAGCCATGAGATCAGTCCAGGGTTTCCCACTCAGAGTTGCAGCTGGTTGCCTTCAACACGAGCCTCTCTTTCTCTCTCCCGCTTTTTCTGGAAAAAAAAAAAGAAAGAAATAAAAAGAAAGAACAGAAATAAACTGAAAAGGGATAGCTTTTCCTCATCTAGCCCAGTAAGGAAAAGTGGGAAGAAGGGGCCAGCGCAGCCGCGACGCACATGACAGGGCTGAGCTCCTCTGCTGGGGGAGGCGGCGGCGGCATTTTGGGGAGGAGAGACAGGGGGAACAGATCGCCGCGCTCCTAACGCTGCCGCCCGGCCCTGCCGCTCCTGAGGGGGCCGCCCGGCGCTTCTGACGCGCGGAGGGAAAGAGGGAAGGGGCTGGATGGGGGCGTGCGGGAACGGCCAGGCCAGGCCGGGCCGGGGCTGAGGGGAGAAGGAGGCGCGCAAGGGGCGAGATGTCGAGGCCGGGGTAATGGAGGGGGAAGAGAGGGTTACCCCGAGGGCTGAGCCTCCCCCATGGAGGGCTCCCCGCTCCGCTAGGGGGAGCGCCCGGTCCCGGCCTCCGCCTGCGCCGCTCAGCGCCGTCGCCATGGAGGGGCCGCCGCCATCCGCCTCGCCTAGCAACGGGCGCCCGGGCCGCGCGCGCCGACCCGCCGCTGCCCTGTGGCCAATAGGAAGCCGCCGTGCTGCGCCGCCCGGGTAAGGCCCAATCAAAGGTGCCCTCTGATGGGGGGGTCACGTGGGCGGGTCAAGATGGTGGCCTCCATGGGAGGAGGTGTGGGCGGAGCCATATTGTAGCTGTGGCGGGAGCGGTGTCGCCGTTGCTGCCGTTGGGGCCTACTCGGTAAGGAGGRGGGGAAGAAGGGAAGCAGGGGCACCGGGAGAGGGCGCAGCGGGTGCTGCCCGTGAGGGCAAGGTCTGTCCGAGCACGAAATGCTGCTTTAAGGCATCCTGACAGGCTGCGGCCAAGTCGTGACCTCTACAGCCAGAAACGTTACCTTGAAAATGACGGAGAGGGTTGGAACTGAGTAGCGCCCCCTGAATATAATTTGTGTTTGATTTTTGCAGTGTTACCTTTGCTRTGCTTCTGGATCTGTTTTTATTTTACTGATTTGTTTTGTTTTCCTTATGATCCAGGACTTCAAGATGGCAGGCAGAGAGTTCCTGGACTCGAGCTCTCCCCAGAACCTCCTGTACATGGAAAAGTTAAAGCACGCGGATCTTATGGCCAAGTTGTTTGAGGGGCTTCCCAAAGCAGATCAGTAAGTGCCCATAAAATAAAGGAGAAAAAGAGCATCATACACCTGGTTCTGTAAGGAGTTGGCTGTGCATTAGTGTCTTGGGCAGAATGAGTTATAGGGAGCTTTCTTTTTAATTGGATTAAACCACTGGATAAGCAACTACAGGTAGTGAAAGGCCTTCCTGTGTRGGTAGAAAAGAGCAGAATGATGCAGTTTTGTCCCCATGCTGCTGTTGATGATGTCATTCTGTGTAGGCCCTGCTAGTTTTGCGCTAGTCATAGAATCATTATGGTTGGGAAATAAATTTAGGATCATCAAGTCCAACCGTAAGCCACTCAACACCATGACTGTTAAACCACTTCACCAAGTGCACTTCTTCCCCAGAGCAGGCACCCTTGGGCAGGCACCTCAGCGATGATTTGGGAGTGCCTTGATAGCTGAAAAAATATGTATAGAGAGAGCAAGAATGAAAAAGAGTCCCCTCACTTTTTTTTTTTTTTTTTTTAGTATTTTTGTCAGTAAGAGTAAGATCTCCTGGTTCTAAGTGCGTCCATGTGCTGTATTTTGGATTCTCAGGTACACTCTGAAACGTTATCCTCAGTCCTCCCCTTGTGGACTGTATGTGTGCATATACATCCAGCCTGTAACAAGAAACATACCGTGAGAATAAAATGACTGGGCTGCAGGAACTACTCTGGGGGACATTCAGTGAATGGAATCCAGTGCTAGGAAGACATTGATCTAAAAGCCAAGAGACCTTTTAATATTAAAAAAAAAAAGACTCCTAAATAAGAGCAAGAGAGATGTTTCACTAGCCAAGTTATTTTGTTATATAGCGGCATAATTAAATTGTTAGTAGCTTATTTTCATGTCTGAAACTTTGGTRTGTATGAAGAATTAAACTCTTTTCCTGTTCAGATTAAGAAGTAATTGGTATCATTGATGTCAGATGCTTTTAATGTTTAGGCTCCTGCAGAATAAACAGCTGCATCTCTAAATTCTCTTTTTATATAGCTATTAATGATTAATGTTACTTCGAGCATTAGAGTGTGAAAGAGTGTTTTAAATAAGTGGATTTAAAATCCATTTATTTTAATTGAGAAATGCTTTAGAGATTGTTATATTTGATTTGCAAATAAATGTGACATTTGGCCTAGGATACATTTTACTACCAATTAAGCGTTTTAGTGACATCAGGGCTTTAGCTGTAAATCCAACTTTTGATGTATTTTGACAACACATTTTGAACATAATGGCACAGCTTCAAAATTGGAGTGCCTTACAGTTAATTGCTTGCCTGGCAATAGTTCCCATTCTGTGAATTTTAGATTGGTGGAAATAGAAGAATAAAGCAGAGAGTTGTTTCCACTAATCAACTGATTGTGCCAGGTGTAGTGCTAAAGATATCAATGGACAACTTCCTTCCGTGAGTCAGATGAAATAAGGCACAAACTGCCAGTCAAATGTGTTAAATGGGCACAGTTTTCATTCCCTCTGTTGTACTTAACTGCTGTGATGGAATATTCTCCAGGAAAAAGTGTTTGTTGAAATAGTAAAGCCTGACTTTCTGGAACCAGAGTGTATTCTGTTCTGCTATGTGAGTATTAGAGACCTCAACATGAGCAGCTGAACTGAACTGCTTAAAAACACAGAATCAGTATCAGAATTCAGTCCCTCTTATCAGGGGAAATACAAGCTCCGGTTCTGTTTACTAATGTGCTGGGTTTCTCTGACTCTTAACTAGCATAACTTAGAGCCATGCAGGACGTTACATTGTTGTGTGCAATGCAAGAAATGCTCTCAGCCCATGAGGCTACAGACCCACTAGAGATGATCACAGAATCATAGAATTCTTAAGGTTGGAAGGGATCTCTAGAGATTATCTAGTCCAACCCCCCTATACATGCAGGGTCACCTAGAGCACAGGGCTGCGTCCTGTTTGGGTTTGGAAGATCTGCAGAGAAGGAGACTCCACAGCCTCTCTGGGCAGCCTGTTCCAGGGCTCTGTCACCCTCACTGTTAAGAAAATTTTCCTTAAGTTCTTGTGGAACTCTTTGTGCTTCAGTTTGTGGCTGTTTCCTTTCGTTCTATCAGTGGCCACCAATCTGCTGGCAGCTGCAGAGCTCCTCACTGGAACATCTCTGTTACTGTAGCTGTCCCACCTGATTTGTTCCATAAGCTCTTCTTTTGAACGCAAATCTCTTCTTGTGGGTAGGCGTGCTCAACCTTTGGAACTCCATTGTACTAGATGCTGTGAAAATATTTTGAAGTCACAGCTTTGAAGAATCCAGTAGAACATGGAGAATAATCCAAACGTGCGCGTGAGAGGGGAATAAGGCTGGAGATAAAGCTGTCAATGAGACAGTTACAGAAATGAACTGTGATTCAGTTCAAAAGTCATCCTAGTAATCAGTTAAGATGTCTTTTGTTTGCACAGCATTTGTTTAACATGCACTTTGCTGTTGGCTTAGTATCTTACAATCTTACTTGACATATGTTTTCATACTTGTTAAAACTTTTGGCTTAGCAGTGTCAGAATAGGTTGGCTGAGGTGGGCAGACAAAAGGAACATGGAAAGAAAAATCAAATTAGGGAAGAGGGCAGAAAGCTTAAATTTTCTYTTCTTGTGATTCGCTCTAGAATATGTTATGTGTTCCCTACACATGGGTGAGCATACTTGTATTCTGCAGCTCACACTGCTTCAGGTATTTTTGCACTGGCATTTTGTCTTATTATGGTATTTATAATATAAACTTGAAGGCAAGCACTAGATTTTATCCTTCATACAGATATTAGCATATTTGGGGACATACCACAAGGAGCCTAACTTCTGTCTCTGCTATTGATAAAAGTTCAGCTAATTCTTTCTTGAATTGGGCAGCACTATAGAGCAAAAGATATTAATGACTTGTGCAAGTCTTGTATAAGGCTTGTATAAATCAGGCATATGTAGGTTGTACTGGTTGCTTTTGGAAGCAACTAATCTCCATTTCTGCAAGAGAGTCATATCTGTTACCTCTTAGTGTAGAATATTCAGAAATAACTTACAGTATTGACTAAACTAAACTCTGTTATATATGATTCTCAATTACTCTTTTTTTTTTTTTTCTTCTCCCAGGAACCTTGTTAATCATGGAGCCTACTTCCTTGCAGCAAATTCAAGCTTATGTGGCTTAGCAGCAAATAACTTCTTCAGACAGACCCTGAACGTCACAAAGGCAGCCTTTGCGTCTTCCTTGCCMATGGCCGTTATACCATTTTTATCAACAGCAGCAATTTATGACATTTTCCTGCGTCAGCCTTTATTTTTAGGTAAAATTTCATTATTCATTGTTATTTAAAGGGCTTTGCTTTACATGACGTAACACTAGAGGACATCTTCCTCTTTAAGCAGCAGTGATCTTAAACTGTTCTTCAAACTATGCGTTGCAAAGCAAGGCTTTGAAGACCACAGCGGTTCATCTAGTGCACTGGTAGCAGTATGTGGGAAAGAAGATACATGCATGTGTATGTTTTATATAAATGTGTGTGTGTGTATTAAAACTCTTTCTTTCTGTGATGTGCGCTGATGTGCAGTGATACTTTCAGAATTTTTCTTGATGTGCACTGATGCTTCTAGCATTTTTCACGCAGGAAGTCATGTAGAATTCATATTCGAACTGCAACAAGCAGTTGAGTTTCAGCCATCGGAATGATTTTATTTGAAAGTCARTTACAGAGCAGTAAATATGTTATGAATGGGAATGACTTTCACTTTTTGCAAATGATAGAGGGTTTTTTTTCTTCRTAATTTTCTGAATGTCTGCTCAACGTGGATATTTCTGCAAAGTGCCACTTCCCACACTGTTGCATGCAGGTTAAGGCTGATATTCAGGAAGTATGTGGATATTGTAGATACTGACAATGAAATGCTTTGTTTTGTTGTGCAGGTGACCTAGACTGCCAGGCCTGTGCTGTGGTCAGAGGAGGATTAATAGGGGCTGTTGTGGGTGGTCTCTATCCTTTTTTTATGGCTCTTCCTGTGAACGCAAGCCTTGCAGCCAGGTATGTTTTATTAACTTGCTGTGAGTGAAATGGATTTGTCACATTGTGGTTTTCAGTTTCCATTCTACAGATTTTCATCCTGTGCACAATTGTCTTGTCCGTAGTGCACAGAGGAGAGGATTTAYGTGAAAGTAACTCATCTAATTACAGGGCAAAGTTCATAAAAGCTGTGCTGACAAGCAGGCTTCTAAAATGAAATGAAATCTGCAAACTGAGACATCRTGAAGAGTGTGTGTTCACGTTGAACCTCACAACCCATCCCTAACGCACACAGATGCGTTTAAATTGCAACTGCCAGCCTAACGTTGGGAAAGATTGCTCCCTAATGTGGGTTGTCCGGGCAGCTGAGAAACACTGTGGCTTTGGAGAGGCACAGAGGACCCAAACTGTACAGAAGGTGAAAATTTGCAGATTTGGTCAGGGAACAACGTTCGATTGGTGTCCCAATAGGTGATCAGTTGCATTGCAGGAGATATTTTGTAGAGTTCATCCAGAAAGAAAATTCACAATGTTGATGCAGGCTTATAGTTAAAATTTTAAGTTATAAAGCAGTATTTAGTGTCACAGAGCATACCTGCAGGCATATTTACAGTGAAACTGTACAGAAAAAAAAATAAAGAAAAAAGGTATTTAGCATGTTTTAAATGGCAGGCAGATTGACCATAAGGTAGAACTAAATATTTATGAATGAGAGTATTGTCTATAAGTAGAATGGTGACCGAGACCTGTAGTAACCACATTCCTGTGTCTCCAGATGAACATCTTTCTTTCTGWAATCTTGTATCTGAAATATGTTTTCTTTCAAGTATTCAAAGTATTAGCTTCTGARTAACTTCATCATAGTTTAAATTTATGGAAAATAAGAACTGATGGAAGCTCAGGTTGTCTTTCCAAAGTGTTGTAACAGTAGTAATGGATCCCAGTACCACTAGCGAAATCTAACTTGAGAGAGTGAATATCTAATTAATATTTTTATATTTATTTTAATGTTAAATAGTAATGTTCAAATGGTTATAAACRGTAGTGAGAACTTTTTTGTTGTTGTTTAGGTATTCTTCAGCTCCTTTGCCAGGGAAAGAGAATCTGTTACGCTTTTGGCACCGAGCTTCTCAACCTGTCTTTAGAAAGATGAGTTTTGGTATATTAATACAGACTCTAACTGGAATTTACCTTGCCACTAAATATCATGGAATATATTTCAAAATGCTGGAGCAGATAAAACCTAAGAAGGATCCTGAAGAGCTGGAAGCCTGAAATTGAACMAAAAAAACTTCCCAATTGCCTTGGGCAGGTAACCATAATAAACAAAGAAAGAAGTTGCTGCTTGCTGCCTTTTTGTCAAAATAAAGACTCCAAATTATTTTAAATTGTAAACTTAAATGCAAATCGATTTTTTTACAACATGTTCTCCTTACTAAGATGCATATACTCCATATACAGCTTTTTTTCTTTGAAAACTGAAAAAAGTAGTCTTACTTTGAAGTGATACTTCATCTTCTGGAAGTTGTAAATGAGGATTATTAAAAAAAGATATTTCTCATGATATTGCAAACCATGGTAGCTTATAATTCCATTAAGGTATTTTCTTTCTAAGCTTTCCCCATTTTCTTCTCCTTTTCTTTATGCACTGACCACAAAATGACTCTGCTTTGGTTGTTTCAGGGAACACTTTTGGGAACACTGTCATCCCAGAGGAGTAGAAATGATACTTGTGTGCCAGTGACTTTTCAGAGTCCAGTTTGGACAAGTTTAGGATGAAGCTTACCTGAAACACATGAATTACTGATGACTAGGAGAAGCAGTCTTATTTGTAGAGCTACTGCAACTTACTTTTTGGTATCATTCCTATATAACTGCTTAATTTTCTTAATAGTATAACAACTAGCACAAGTACCTACTTACTCAAAGATTTTCTCTTTACTGCACTGATTGAGTTCCCGGAGTTGAGTCCACCTTCAATTGCTTAACTAATGCATTGTAGAATCCTTAAGGTTGGAAGGGAAGTCCAACCCCGTGCACATGCAGGGTCACCTGGACCATGTGGCACAGGGCTGTGTCCAAGCAGGTGTGGAAGATCTGCAGAGAAGGAGACTCCACAACCTCTCTGTGCAGCCTGCTCCAGGGCTCTGTCACCCTCACTGTTAAGAAATGTTTCCTTAAGTTCCTGTGGAACTTTTGGTGCTTCAGTTTGTGGCCATTCCCTCTAGACCTATCAGTGGCTGCCAGTGAAGAATCTGGTYCCATCCTCTTCACTCCCTTCCTTAAGGTATTTATATACACTGATCAGAGGCACATAGGCTTTGCATCCTGAACTGGACCATTGGCTGGAATTCCTCAGGTGTTTGCATGGCCCATCTCCATGGCTTATTTTTGTGTTTAGGTTACAGCATTGAAAGTGGTGCTTTGGAATAGGAGCTTGTTACCTCATCAGGTGAGTGAAGGGAGGAAACTAACACAGTAAGAAAAAGCTAAAGTACTAACATGGGTCGCATACATATTATAGATTTTATGAATACTGATAACTTAAAAATGGTTTTCAGAACTTGCTTACAGAAATRCAAATACTAGAGTAAGGTTCTGTGAATTAAGAAATATTTATGTTGAAATAAAGTAAGCAGTTGTGAGCTTCAAATAACTTCAGATTAAGCATTTGACTTCTTAGTACTTTTTTGCCACCAAGTAAGGAAATGGGGAAGATGCAGAAATCTTTTCACCGGAAAAAAAAATGTAATAGCTTGTTTCCAATATTATCATTTGGAAATTTTGATATCTTACATTTCCTAAAACTAAGGTTGCAACAAAACACATTGACAGAATCTCGGTACCAATCCTTGAATATTCAATGAACAATAACATCTTTTTAACTTGAAAAGTTGTTAGCACAAAAATTTATACTGAGCAGCAAATAAAGCCTATCCAGAAAAACCCTTCTCCTTATAACCCGTTCCACTCAACATTCATTTCTTCATAAAGCAACAGATCATTTTCAGAAGTCTCAAGCAGCTGATTCTGCTACTGTGAGGTCCATCTGTCTCCTCTAGTTTCAAGATTAATGGGCCAGATTCACTTTTGTGAGTCAGAGTTGGTTTCAAATTGACAGTTATAGTGCCCTAGATCATAGAAGTGTTGAATGCAATGTGAAAAGTTGTAAAATGCAGTGTATTCTGCAGCTTGAAAACTAAATCAGGATTTTTTTCCACTGAAGCAATAAAGGTGATGCGTGGTCTGTCCTGTAAACTCTGTATTACAATTACTGGCCAGCACACTTCAGTAAAACACTGTTATCCTCAGAGATGCACCTGGTAATATACATTAATAAAAAGAAAGAATTCAGCACTAAGACCTTGAAATGATTTTGCAAATTCTATGCTAAGGTGCTGCTGAAAAACATGCTAAAATAGTTTAATCACATTTATCTACCTTTTCCTTGTTGCTGTAGCAGGGAAATCATACGCTATAACCAGTAGTAGTCTGATTTATACAGGGAATTAGCAAAATGGGAGTATATGCATAAGCATTGTTATGCACAATTAGTTTAGTTTTTCTTAATCTGAAGTGTTTAATTGACGTGATGTGATACCAGACTGCATCTGAAGAGGTGACCGCACCTTGTATCACCTGTTGTACAGATTGTCACAGATTCTTACATTTGATAATAGAAAACTTACACTAAAGCTCATACTTTGCAATAGTATCTCTAAGAATGAAACTCAGCAGTTTGGTTGTAAATGGGTATTTAACAAGACAGAGTTAAGCCATTTAAAGGGCTAGAGTGATTTAGAATGTTACTGTCATAGCCATCTCCCTTTCCATGTGCTATTTTTGACATCAGTTCAAGTGATAATTACTCTGAGTAGTCAAAAATGCAAGCTGTGGCTTTTCATGATCTGATTCAAACTGCATTTTTTTTTAGATCTTTGAAAAGAGGGAAAGGTTGAAAAGTGTAACAGGAAGAAATTCACATGCCTCAGCATCTCCAAATACCTTCCAAAGGCCAATGGTTACTACCAGCAGAATTGATGAATATACAAGCTGCAAGTTTTGTTTGTTTGTTTGTTTAATAGTTAACATTTTACATCCTGGCACAGACCAGCTACAATCCTTAGGCAAAAAGCTTAAAATCAAGGTGTGTGTGTTGTAAAGAAGACAGTTGTATTCCCTGCACACTTCCACTTAAACTGCAGATGAAAAGTCCTCAAAACTAAAAGAAAAAAAAAAAAAGTAAGTTCTAACATCAGTGCACCTGAAGCACTGCTTTCACTGAGATTTGGAAATATTTTTCTTCAACTCTGTTTCATGTACTGGATAAAACACATGCTATTTTACACCACTGAAAAACAACCTTTTACCAATGCTTGGCTTCCTGCCAACTTCTAACAAGCTCATTGCAAGCACTACCTTTTTATTCAAAAATCTCTAGTACATTAGAACAGATTTTAAACGCACCTTTCCTCTACCAGTATAGGAAGAAACTAGTTACAGAATGTACATCAGAGTAATGATTTTTATTACCTTCTAGGAATGCACATACCTGATATATAAGCTATGACTGACTACTTAGAAGTCTGACCTACTTCCAAAAGACTGCTGAGAGACTAGCTATTGGTAAGAATCAAGACCTACTTTAAAAAGCATCAATTCTATTCATATTTCATTTTGGTCACAAATCTCAATATTACACTCTATTAGAAAGCAGATACCTCTGCACATCATAATAAATAACAACCCCTTTTTATCAGTCCCCTGCCTGACTCCTTTCTGTTTTTTTTCCTGCCCTCAAATCCCAGTCCTGACATGCTCCAGCCACAAAGTAGAGACAAAACAACCAAATCTTCATCTAATGTTTCATTTATTCGTCTGAAATCAGCTTTCATCGATATGCAGTTGTACAAAAGGTTTTCTTTAAACAGAGCCCACTTCGGTATCCATCATACTTGATACATACTTGAGGCATTTCCTGTCTAACAGCACTATAAATAGAATATCAATTCCAGCAGAAAAATCTCTAACTGCAAACTTTTGAGAACATTTTTAAAAATATCTTGGAGAACATTTTTTAAAACAAAAGTTTTTTTAAAATAGTAAATTTTACAAAGGACTTTTTTATCTTACAAACCTCTCAGTGTTTATCTTGCAAACCTCTCATAAAGAAAACTGATTTTGTCAATTAACATCAGAAATGTTAAATCTAGCAACTCAGAAGTGCAAACATGCCAAATTTTGTGGAATGGTTCCCCTATTTACTTGTAGCCATGTAATTCAACACAAGGGTTTGAATTTCTGTGATATATTTACTTACACAAAACTAATTCTGGTGCTCAGCAAGGTGTTCTCTACATTGGAGGACAAAAAGGAGAAAAAGTATTTCTTTGAACTGGTAGAAGTCATTCATTACATTTTTAAGCATTTTTTTCTTCTTGATTTTAAGCTACAGACGACTTTTATTAGAATACCTGACTGCTAGAAGGAAGCTCTTCTCTCTACCTAACAAAAAAATAAAATTCGAATCTTTCACAGAAAATTAAAACAATATCATGTTGCTCATTCTAGAGCTCCTTTCAGAGCCCTCAAATGTTGATACATTCATTCCTATATAATCTGGAAATAAAAATCTAATGAAAGATTACATATTAACAGGATACTATTAGTTAAGCATCAAATTAGGAACCTAGAAATGGAACAGAAGGTAGGAATGTCAATAAAACATGTAAGTATTTACACAGGAATTCTACCTCTTCAATGATTTATTAATCAAATGTATCTACATTAATAAAACATTGAGAAGCTGCTGTAAAATACAAAGAATACACAGATACTTGGAGAAAAAACTTTATTTTAGGTTCAAGGAATAATTTTTTTTTTCTTGTTTTCTAATATATGATCCACGCATATAGAAGTATGAGCATTTTTCCCTTTCCGATTCAAGTTTTGTGCAATGAACCACTCTATTAATGGAAGGCATTAACAAGAAGAAAAAGATTAAAAACTATTTCAGCCCATAAACTGAAACATCAGCAAGTCTGATTTTATTATGATACYCTATTCTTATCTGGATGACACACAAAGAAACAATATTTTTTCCAAGTATTAAGCTGTATCCTTTCTTAATTCCGTCCAGTCACGATGTCTTACTGAAGTTTTAGGTATGATTTGGTTTTCTAAGCAAGCGTTTTCAGCTCCTTGGGACAAGCAGCCTAGAYGTTATCTAGGGAGGCAAGACTAGGGAGGCAGTGTTATCTTTACTGACAACTGCGCAGCAGAACCGAGCACGATCCCGGGCCAGCACGAGCTTTCCACCCCGGTGCTGTAAACAGGCTCCAGAGGC